GTAAGCAATTAATGATCCTCTTCCCAGCTCAAAACTCTTCCATTTTTCTTGTCCTGCTCCTCTGTTTTCAATTGGCCTAATCCACTTATCCGTAGAGATGTTTTCTGGGAGTTTGAAGGTAACCCTTCGATTTTATTTAGGATGTGGGCTATCAGCTCTTCTTGGAACTCTTCTCTTGTCAAAAGTAAAATTGCTACGCTGAATTATCCAGCTACCTGTGGTTCTGGCATAATGGACTCATTCATATTCTTCTTAAGCCTTTCGATCATAGAAAACACTGCGTCTAGGACACATTAAGCATTCTGATTGCATTTTATGGCAATGGACAAGAAAAGCTATCAAGCTTTCGCCAACTTTTGGGTAAATCATCTCCTTCAGAACACCCTTCCTCCAGCTGCTCCCATTTCGAGCCTGTTGGGTTTGCTGATAAACCTCTACTCCTTTTTGATCATAAATGACACTGCATCTTAGGCACATCAATCCCTCAAAGTTCTTTTTGTGACAACGAGTCAAACAGTCCAACAGACTTTCTCCCGATTTTGCATAAGTTTTGTTCAACAGGGCATCTTCTCTTTGGAGACATCTTTCTACTTCTTCCATTTCTGGGGCTGGATGGTTTAGGTCTACCATGTTAACTTCGACATTAGGACCATCAGTAATCCTAATCTTCTCAAACATAACCCTGAGACCTTCAGTGGTCTCCAACATTGTAGCATTTGAAACAACATTTTCAGTAATGTTGTCTTTGAATTTCTGGTTCATCGGGCCTTCAGTAGCCTGATTGACAATTTTTTTGTTGCAGAGGCCTTTAGTAGCCTCTGTTTCCTTCATATTTTGATCAACTTTGTCAACTATCCCCACCATGTTGATAGAAACTGGTTTAGCGTAGTTTGTTTTTGCCACGTTTAGAGGATCAACATCTACCTTCATCTGTTTCTTGGTTTTGTCACCAAACTTCAACCTTCCTTCTTTGATGACATTTTGAATTAGATCCCTGAAAAGGAAACATTGTGGATTTTATGGCCTAAAAAATTGTGATATTTATAAAAACCTCTATTCTTCTGTTGATCTAACGGAGGAATTTTAGCACCAGGTGGTACTATCATTTGACCACCTTTTACTAATACGTCAAATATTTCGCCAGATCTTGTGATGTCGAAAGTATAAGTTCTTTTAGGGAATTTATCACTCTTGTCAGGTTCGACCGGATTTTTTCCATTCGAAGGAGCCAAGACAAGGATATGGTGGTCCTTGTTTTAACTTAGCCAAATCAACTTCGACCTCTTCGAAGTCTGAGGCTTCAACACACTTTCTTGTTCGTCTATGGCTATTTCTACATAAGCAACTATTTATTTCCTATGGTTCTTGTTTGCTTTAGCCTTTTCGATTTTTAAGCGTTCCACTTGTCGAACCCTATCTGCTAATTGGGCCATATCCCTTAAGTAACGGGGATCCAATTTCTTTCTGATGGAGAAATCAAATCCTCTCGCAGACATTTCAACTAATTCATGTTCAGGTACCTGGGTGAAACATCTTGCTTTTAACAGGCATAATCTGTTTAGGTCACCATCAATTCGCCGAGACTTATCTTCGACTGACCTACATAGAATTGTTCATGTAATAGTCTTTCTAAACGCGCCCAATCATGGATAGACCCTGCTGCAAGAGTAGTAAACCATGTAAAAGCATTTTTGGTTAGTGAACTAGGAAAATATTTTGTCCTTAGGTTCTCATTGTTTGCTATGTCCCCAACCTTGATAAGATACCTGACTATATGTTCGATAGTTGATTCGCTAGTATCACTAGAGAATTTTGTGAACTTTGGGACTTTCCAACCCCTAGACAATTCAATTTATAAAATGTATTCAGATAAAGAGGGAGTATAATTTGGCCTAGTAAGGCCTAAATCCACACCATTTAATGCCATAATCCTTTCGACCATGGATTCCAGATTAGTATCTGCTACTATGTTGTTTTGTCGAACTTGATATAAAACTTCATCAGCATTTTGGTTTCTATTTACCATCATAACTCTAGGTTCTGCCTGCCTAAGAATCTGTGGTTCCTGCCTAAAAGGTTCAGCCCTAAGTATTTCGACATTCACAACCCTGGGTACTTAGACTACCCCTCATTGATTCATCATATTTGCATGAGGTGGACTTCTTTGATTTTTTTGAACTTGGTTAATTGTTGGGTCTTCTTCCAAGACTAGCCCTTGGTTTTCTCTAACCCACTCCCTTTGAGGATGTGTTATTGGTTGGGGTACACCAAAAAAGTCAGTGATGCGCGTCATTTGTGCAGTCATCTGTTGGTTCATTTGAGTGGTGTTCTGGATCAAAGGGTTAAAGATTGTACCCATAGTTTGTGCAAGCATTTTGACCATTTCATTATTACTCTCGTCCATTTGCTTCCTAATCACTCCTGGAGATTGATTTGTTAAGTTTGGTATTTGGGATGAAACTCCTTTGATTGGTGGTTGGATATTCCAACCCCTGTTATTAACCGCAGATCCAGAACCTTGTAATGGCGAATTCACCTTCATCACAGGATCTGAATATGTTGAAGTAGAATTATGTAACCCCATCATAAATGAAGATGGCATGCCATAAGACTGTTCACGGTCATTCTGAGGCATAGAAAAACCAGGTGGCCCCTGAGGCCTATGAAAAACATTTCCCCTTGGAGGGGGGTTCCTTGTGAACCTCGTGAGCCTATGTAAGTTAATAGAGAGCCCATGTAAGTATTCATCTGTGTTGACTTCAAACTTGTTAACGACAGTATAGCCTCTGAAGAAGGCACAAAAACCGTATTTCCCCTGTCGAAGTGATTGAGGGTGGAACTTCGTCATTGTTAGGAGGATTGTGATTTCCTGCCTGGCCTTGATTCGCCATTCTCCTAACATTTTTTTGTTATTTCCTTGTTGTTTGTGGCTAATTTACCACTCATAAGTTTCATACAACATAGAGAAATACAAGAAGATAATGAAGAATTTCAAAGAACTTTTTAGACTGAAACAGAAAAATTGCCAGAAAAACAAGAAATTGAACACAAGGTCCCACTGGACGTGTTAATTTGTTTACCGTAGAATTTGGTAAACAACCACTGATCTTCCAAATCTTTGTAGAATGGTAACTGGCAGGATCAATCAGATTGATTCTAAGTACATGTGTTCTTATTTAATGTTTTTTGTTCTTATAACAAAAAGTATTTTCAACAACATCTTCATTATTTTATACAAATGTTATTTCAATTATTATTTTGTAGATAGTGACGTAATACTTTAAAGATAAGACTGAAATGTAAAAGACTTTCGACTAGAATTTAAATAGAATGTATAAAACTTCAAATATAATCGAATGACTATAAATATAAAAATGGTGCATCATACGTACATTCTCCCAAACTCTTTTCTCTTAACGCTGGTACTTTGAGTGATTTGAGTATTTGTACAAAAGACGCGAACATCTTGAATCTTAACACTAAGACCCCCTATTTATATTAATTTCGACCAAACGGTCTCTAAATAATATGACGTCACGTTCGACAATCGCATGTATCTTCAAATTCCAAGCTTCCATGCGTCTCTTTGGATAAGATTAATCTTTTTGAGTTTAAAACTCCTTATCTTCAAAACGTCAAAACGTGACGGTCGAAGCATGCTCATTGATACATTGAATAAACTTGATATCTCTATGGTCCGTATACGGACCTTTCGCCAACACTTAGCAAAATTAAAGCTTCAGTTTTAGCTCTTCACTTATCAAAGTCTTCTCATGGACTCTTTTATTCTTTCTTTCGAATTACATCATCCAAAATGTATTAATTCAACTAAAACTCATGTAGTCGAAACTTCCAGTTAACACTTTCATACTATAAATGCCTTCTGAGGAATTATTTCTTTCAGATGCATTCCTTCTTTTGTAATTTTCTCTTCTCTCACAATCCATAATCAATTTATCCTTCCTCTCTGGCATTTCATTAGCAGAGTCGAAACGAACAGTGACAATAATAATACCATATTATTTACCAGTGGCCTGTGTCCATGCTAAAACTTCATATCGGGACTTAAATATCTATCAATTACAACATATAAATATTAAACTATCAGTTTCATAAAGACGGAAAAACAATTAAAAACCGCATTTGTTGAATAGAAAACATGCGATATCCGTGGTGAAGAACTCCGTAAAATCTGTACAGGAATCTGTAGAAGAAGTTGTCAGTTCTGAACTACACAAGTAAATAATTTTATCTAAGCCATACCAGAAATTTCAAGTATATATAAAATTTTCGGTATACCGGAAATTCCGGACGATTTTGTTACCAACCGTAAATTTCAAAAATTTCCAGTATTATTTATTTGGTTTTCTAGAACAACACCGGATTTTTCAAAATTTCCGATAAAAGTATATGCAAAATTTTTGATATACCGGAACTCCGAAATTTCAGGAAGATTTTGTTACTAACCGTAAATTTCATAAATTTCCAGTATTGTTTCTTTGGTTTTCTAGAACAACACCGGATTTTTCAAATTTTTCCAGTAAATCGTCTCCGGAAATTTTTAAAAATACACTATTTCTGGTAAGAACATGAAAATGAATACTGGAAATTTACCAGAAATTTTGATTTTACTGCATGTGCATAGTGAATTTTTTTAAAGAATTGTAAATTTTTTAAAGATAAATAATAAGAGCATTTTTGTCAATACAAAAATATGGGACATGCCAAGATTAATTTTATGGGTGGCAGATTGAATTATCTGGTATTTAGTGTATACATACATATCCAATAAAAAAAATTAGAATGTTGTTGCCATTGAACATTTGAGAACCAGTAGCAAACTAGCAATGCAATTAATCATTCATAATCCATTTTACACTAAGGGAAATAAGGTAGAGTGACATTACATCATGACTCACAAAATGGAAGGCGCACTCCTATATGTTTTGTCATTCGTGACAATGCAGAAAACATATGTAACTACTCACTCACCAAACATGTTATGAGAGCTTCAACTTGACCCTTACATGACCTTTAGAAATCTGAAATTGTTCAGTTATGCCTAAATGAGCCATCAAAAGCCACACATGGGTAAGAAACTCACCACCCTGGCTTAGTTGCTTAGCATGATTAAGTCCTCTACATTGGCTTGCTGCATGACACAACATCTCCACCCATACATTACTTATCATTTCCCATTTACTTTCTTTCGACCAGTTCTCCTCCGTTTCTAGAGATTTTAGTGATTTGGCAAGCCTACATGCATCAAACAGCACAGATTTGCTTCTATCGCCTTTAACCTCTGATGGTGAAATAGTTGTATTCACTCGAAGTATCATCTTGCAAACTTCACTTCTTCTTTTTATGTATTTTCTCTCTTTCAAAAGTTCATCCACCTCCGCACAAGTATCTTCAAATCTGATTTGTCCTATTCCGTTTGGAAGCAAAAAAGGACTCATAACAAGAAGATATAGCATATAATCCGATAACAATTGGCTTTTTTCACAACTTTGGAGAGCAACGCCATTTAAGTTTTGAGACTCGATATCATCTAAATAGCAAAGATCTGTAGCAATATGCCAAAGCAAAATGCTCTGGTCAAACTCAACCTCCTTAATGCTGTGGTTGATGTCACGAATATTATGACAGTTCCATTTCCTAAGAACTCGATCACCCTTGTGAGCACATAATTTTTTACATGCTTCAGTGTCTGTTGCTTCCTCAGATTTATCCTTAAGCTGGTCAAAAATTAGTTCTTTCAATCCCTCGGAGACTTGTTTTGTTTTTTGGTAGTAAAACTTCTCGAAAAAGTTATAAATTCGAAGGAGTTTTTGAATATTCACACATTTGACAGGCTCATCTTTCAAGCAGAAACTTATGAGATTGAATTGTGACATTTGATTAGACCACCTGATAGTATGCGAGAGTCTGAAACAAAATTGACAAAACGAGATGAACTTATAGAGAAGATCAACTCTCCAATTCTTATGGCGGCTCAGCCAGTTCATTACCCTACTTGAAGAAAGTAAGACAATGACAGCATATATCTCAAGAAGAATAGCTCCGATGAAAAGCACAAAAGTGATAATGAGGTCATAATTCCAGTGTTTATGTTCTTTATTGTGGAGTTTAATAAATTCATTTTTGTTAGACATCAAAAAATAAAAGGCAATGAATGAAGAAAGCGTACAGGAAAAGCTCACAGATTTGAGGAAGATGCCACGGTAGGAGTATGTTATCGCTGCCTTTGTATACAGCATATCATATATTAGTCCTAGCTCAACCTCAATTGCTTTAAAAGCATTTTTCCAATTAGATTCGTAAAAGAAAAATTGGCTGCTTTTGTGGTCTTGAAAACTGAAGATGAGATCTGCAAATAGGCACTCAGGAACGTTGTAGAATTTGAATCCATCGCTTAAAGCTTGACCATCTGGAATATTTGGATTTGGTAGTGTGGTTCCCCCTTGAGAATTATGATCCAATACTAAGGGAGTAGTTTCATTAATTTCATCTAAAGTAACATGATATCCTTCATCTTTTTTAGCAGTGTAATCATCCATGAATTTAGCATAGTTTGGTCCTGGGTCTGGAGGAGGGAGAATTGATTCTCTGAATCCATCACTGCTTCCTGACCGCAACGACCCAGTCTTCTCCCCATATTTGATTATTCCTGCAATGATAATAGGAACAGTGACATACTTAAGAGGATCGGTGTTCCATGATCGGTAAACGACATAAACTGCAACAGCTAGCTGGTAGAGTAACTCAAGCATATGTCGTGGCCATAGTTGGTTGTCCTCGAGGGAGTATGCAGTGATTGTATCAGGTCCACCAAGATGCACAAGAAGAAATGGCGCCCATATGGCCATAATTACAAAGTTGGAATCTGACTTACGATCCTTGGTGTCTTTGGAAAGAATTCCGAGAGCAACAGTAGCAATCCAATCAGCTGAGAGATAGGTGAACCATATCAACAATTTAAGTCTTTTAGAAACTATATACTTCCTTCGGTTTCCCAAAAAGATGAGTAGCATTTGTAAGAAGAGACTAACAGCCACCAAAATCCGAAGTTCCAAAACATTCCACACTTTTGCCAGATTAGGAATATTCTCATTATCTGGTTTTGTTTCTCTTGAAACTATCAGACCAGCAATAACTGATAAAGAAAACATTGTTTTCTTAGCCTTTTTAGATATAAAAGTAGGACAGTTATTAAATTTTGAATACATAAATACAGAAACAAATATTGGTCTTACCAGCTAGTAGCATTGCTTGCTTCTGTGCTTCAACTTTTGATTGCTATTCTCTATCAAGCAATACCATAAGCTCACAACAATGCTATAAGAAAATAGTGGAAATCAATGGGAAGACAGTAAATTAAAAGTGACTTGTTAACAACTTACAGAGAAATGCCTTCAGGATTCCTTTCTTATTGAAGTTGTTCTTTTGTCAGCTTCATACATATAATAATATCCTCACACTTTTAAAATTTTATATTTAATGTATTATAAAAAAAAATGCAGCATGTAATTTTGAGAAAAAACCACAAATTGTTGGAGAAATTTCCAAAATAGTCCGATAAAGTTTTCCCTTCAGTTTGAATGCTACTTTTGTGTCACATAGTCCTTAAGCATTCTAGTTATATCTCATTCTATTTCTCCATCGTTTCGTATTAGAGACCCAAAATATTTAAACTGCATGACTTGTGAGATAATATGGTCTTCAACTTTAACTTTTAGGTTAGAAGCGCTTCTTCTTTTGCTGAACTTACATTCCATATTATCCGTCTTACTTCTAGTTAGGTGAAAATCATGTGTTTCTAAAGTTTGTCTCCAAGTTTTCAACTTCTCGTTTAAATCTTCTTTTGACTCTTCAAGTAAGACTATATCATTTACAAAATGCATGTATCACGATAGATCATATTATCCCACAAGTCACGCGGATTAAATATTTTGGATCCGTAATACAAAACAATGGAGATATAGAAGGGGATGTAAACCATCATATTAAAGCGGGGTGGAAGAAATGGAGGAGAGTTTCAGAGGTTTTATGTGACACAAAGACACCGCTCTGAAGGGAACATTTTATCGGATTGCAGTAAGACCTACGATGGTGTACTGGACACAATGTTGAACGGTTAAAAATCAACACGAGAATAAAGTTAGTGTAGCTGAGTTGAGGATGTTGCGTTGGATGTGTGATAAGACTAGACATCATAAGATTAGAAATGATAATATTAGAGAGTGTTGGAGTAGCAGTTATGGTAGAAAAGATGATAGAAAATAGACTTATGTGGTTTGGGCATGTAAAGAGAAAACCTATAAATTTTGTGGTAAGGAGAATAGATCAAATGAATAGGAGTAAAAAAGTTAGAGGTAAGAGAATACCTAGAAAAATTATAAAAAAAGTTATTAAGAAAGTTATTAAATTTAACGATTTGGATAGAACCGTAGTCTTAGATAGAACATTATGGAAGAAGTTGATCCATATAGTCGACTTCATTTGACAGAATAAGACATGGTTGTGTTGTTGTATGTGTGTGCTGTGCTATTCACTCATTTACATCTGGTTTGCTAAACTGTTGGGGTATATCGAACCTAAAGTTTAGTCTCTCCATACTCCTTTGAAATTTATTTGTGCAATCATCATTTCATCTTCATATGTGTTTGAATCTATGGTTGCAAGAATTGATTCTGACATAATTAGTTTTGATTAAAAGTGAGTTGAACGTGAATTGATTTATATTTTGATATGCTAACTTAAAAGTGATTCTCAATATTTAAAGTTGTTTTGATGATTTTCATAAATAAAAAAATTGATTATTTAATTACTAAATTGGGTATTAATATGTGTATTTCCATAAAACATGAGAATGCAGACAGGAAAACAAGGAACAGAACTGGAAACTATTAATAAGACAGATGTTAGTAGCAGTACTTGTAATATACAGCTACTTGACCACAAATATCTCTGTCCTCTTCTTCCCAAATCATGTTAACCGTCATGCCATTAATGAAAAATGCCAAACAATATGAATTGATAGTACATGAAACAAAACTACATCCATTCAACTTGTGGACTGTCTTATTAGTAGAAAATACATGTTTAATCAAGTAGCGGTTCTGGTCAATAATATACAGCCAGCCATCAACCACAAATATCTATGTCCTTTTCTTTCCATTGATTGTCATGTCATGCCATTAAGAAACAATCCCAAACAATAGGAGTACACCAAACAAATTATGTCCATTTGATTTGTGGCTATCTACGGTCAAAAATAGAGGAAAGTACAGAAGGTGAAATCAACGGTTAAAAATCGACCTCAAGATCACAACGGCATTTGAATGCACTGAAGTATTCCAAACGACATTGCCACTCCCTATCCTAAGGACCTAGAGTCACGTGTAAGATTAAGCGTTTTAGTTATAAAACAAACTATTACGTATGTTCTCAAGACCATCACTCCCACTCAACAAACTCTTTTGTTACCCTTCTCCAAGCCGGAGACCTACCCAAGAAATCCAAAACGATGAAGAAGAGCAGCCCAGAGGCTGGTCCCAAATCCTCTAATACAATCTTTGCTTCTGGGTCGGCCAAGTGCTTAGTAAAGTAGGCCCAATTACTAGGGCTCAACCCAAAGCATCATTAAAAATGTCAGCGAACAGGTAGAACCTCGCTAGAGAGTCAGACACCTAATTCAAGCTGCCAATGCATCCATCAACGTCATAACTGATCGGACGCCTCCTTGCGATGCACGAAGGATCAGTCAGGGACAATTTTAACCGCCTACCATATCTAAGCTCTTCCACGCGCCAAAACATATATTATCTCATTCTCACTCTTGCAAGATACACCTCTACAACTTCACTGACTTGAGCGTTTGAATGCTAACCTTACAGGTCCACTCCGCTCTGCCACACCGGAGACTAGTACAGCCTCGTCGAAAGAACCCACTCCTTCCACATCACGAATCTCTCATTCTGTAATCAGAACTGTGGGAACATGTCCATATTCCAATATGTTGAATTTAAAAATTTCTCAAGTCCCACATTGTTAGAATATCTTTTTGATTAAAAAATTTATTTAGTCTCACATTGCTCATGTGAGAAATATTAACTAACTTACTTCACTATATAAGGAGTACACATGTTTCATTCCAAATTACACCAAAAACTATTCTATTAGTTTTTCCTTCCTCACTCTCATAACTCTGTGTCTCTCGAATTGTCGAAGCGCCATCTTCTTCCCATTTCTTCCTACTCGTTGAATTTTCCGAGTATTTTCTTGAATTCTCTTTAGAGAATTATGTTAATTTCTCCTCATTTGAGTTGAGAAATTTTCAAATTTAATTTTTTGGATTCTCTTTGGAGAATTATTTGAATTTTTCTTTGTTGGAGAAATTATTATGAGTGGTCAAATGACCATTATTAATTTCTCTTTGGAGAATTATTTGAGTTTCTTTTTGTTTGAGAAATTATTATGACTGGTCTTAGTACCTGATACTACGAGTGATATCGATACCATATTTGAATGGTCATGAACCATCAGATTGTGTATTTCTAGACCGATTATCTACCATGCAAGTAGTAATCGTACAATATAGAAATGAGTTGTTTTATCTTGGAGGCAGCACGGTAGTTCGATTGCTTTGCATAATTTTGAGCAGTGTCGCGAAACGTCTTAAAGAGAGCGACCTAGTCCATAACTTAACCTGGTAATTTCTTCGGTGACAACTATTTCAAAATTCAAAAACGACAATTTTAAGACGTTTCAAACTGCCATGGCTACCGAAGAAATTATTGGTACTTTTGCAGATATTGTCTTTGAGAAATCATTCATGTTTGAGGGAAGTCACTTCAAACGTTGTCAACAAAAGATGAAGTTCTTAACGTTGAAAGAAAAAAGTTGCTAATGTTCTGATCGATGACATTTTGTTGCTCCTTCTAGATTAATCGAACAAACTAACGGTAGTAAATTTGGAGATTTAGAAGGAACACTTAATAGTGTTGAAGTTGAATCTGCTGCACAGATTAAAGCGAATGATTTACATCATAGGAAAGAAATCACCTTATAGAAAGAGAATGAAAATCTCTACAAAATCATATTTTAAATAGACTTGCAGATGATATGTATGATAATTACAGTTGATGTGATACTGTAAAACAAGATTGAGAGACTCATAAAAAGAAGTATGACGTAGAAGCTAGAGCAAAAAAGTATGTTGTTAGCCGCTACTTCAAGTATCAAATGCAAATATGTAAGGTCGATGGAGGTTCAATGTTCCAAACTTCAAATGATTGCTTAAAAGATCATCACAAAAGGTACGTGTTTAAATGAACAATTTCAAATTGATTTTATTATTGACAAACTACCCTATAGTTTGAATGTTTTAAAAAAAAAACTTTGCTTCGCCACAAAACAAAAGAATTTTTTATTGAGAATCCGATTATTCTCCTTGAGTTAAAAAAAGGAATCTTAGAGACAATATCATAAAGAAAAAATCTTGATTGTTTCAAACAACAAAAAGAAATTCGGTGTAGTTCTGAAGTCATTTGGCAAATGATTAAAGAATCAAAACCGTAATATTGTGAACCGAATTAAGAATGAGAGCTCTTCTATGATTCCAATAGCTCCAACTAGGCAACAAACACCACCTAAAAGAAATGGAGTTGGTTTCCCTTTGTTTTAATTATGGAAAATCAAGTCATATGACTAAGAAATGTAGAAGTAAGCTTGAACTTGGTGTTGTCCCTAATGCACAGATCAACCTGACTAGTGGGCAATTTATTGCTATAGTCATTGAAATCAACATGGTTGATGGATATGTTGGTTGGTTGATAGACACATGCGTCTCTTGTTGTGTCTATTATGACCGTGTTATATTTAAAACATACACGAATACTAAAGATAAGAAAGTGTTGTTAGGAGATGGCCAGACCACAAATGCTGCTGGAATTGTAGACATGGAGCTAAATTTCACCTTAAAAAAGACTTTAATCTTAAAGATTGTTATGCATGTTCCTAAGATTAGAAAGAATATTTTTTCTGGTTTTCTTTTAAATAAGACAAGGTTTAGTCAGTCTACTGGGATAGATTTGTACGCCATTATGAAGAATGAAGTTTATATGTTAAAATTGTTTGTACAAAATTTGAAAATGATATAATAAGAATTTGTAGTGATAGAGAAATTGTGTGATTCTAGTTTATTAATGAATTTTATACATGAAATTGTACATGAAACAATTGCACCATACTATCTTGCAATGAAT